CTCTTAGAGCAATGAGTTTAGAAGTGTTTAGGGGCATAACCCTGACACCCAACCTGGTCTTTCTTTTGCATCATGGAGACATAGCACACAAACTATATACACATTAATAAAGCAAGACAATAACGGTGTGGTGAAAAGTGCTGCATGAAAGATGTAAATGACACAATCTTCTACCTGAAGACTAAAAGGAAGTGAGCTCCAAAACTTCAATTTTCTTGAGAAAAGTAAATAACATGACCATCACCGACGAAACACCTTACTCAGGCATTAATGGTAATGGGCTGCAGTTTACCGAATGCCAATAAACATTTCACAAAGACTGGAGCAATCCGTCCACTCTGATCTGCAAAGATAATCACCCATAAAATCATTGCTTCTTAAAGGTCACGTAGGAGAGAAGGTGAGAAAGACAGTGACTGAGTTAGAGGAAGAAATCTAGATAGATACACCAAGAGTAAAAGACCGAGCCAGCTGGCTGTGTTTCAAGTCATTACCCAAGTGCTTCTCTTTCCTTTTGCACTTCAGCTTTAACATAAACTTAGCTATGCATACACAAAAACACAGGCACATTCATTCTAAAGACAGAAAGGACACGCTGTGAGGGACACAGAGGCAAACACATTCATTTCCAAAGCACCCTTTAATTTGACTTCACACAGCGAGTGCCTGCTTTGAGGCAGTTTTTGTGTATGCGATTAACCGTAGCAACAGATCATTTTCACTCTATCTACACACAGACACACAATACTAAAGGGAAAGAAAAATATCTGTGTTTGACTGATATTTTATCACATAAGCAGCAACGGCTCTCAATTTGCTTCTATTACACATTTATTCACGACTTATTGGCATATATTTCTCTTTAAGTCAAGGCAGAGGATCCCCTACTCACATATGCTCGCAGAATAACTGAAAGAAGAAAGAATTTAACTGAAATGTGGAGAAAAGAAAGGCATGAAAAAGTAAGAACAGTCTAAAAGATGTGACATAAGATATGCAAAAATCAAGAAAGAAAGGAAATATCACAAAGAAAACAAAACCACTAAAACCAACGTAGTGAAATTTTACCAGAGCTATGAGCATTAAAGACCTAATTAAGCTGTGGCTATCTTAAAATAAACAATAAACTATACATAAATAAATTGGATTAATCTTTGCTTCCTCACAATGCAAATTTATGTAGGTCTGCTTTGAAAAATAATAGTAGTTCCACAACTCTGGGTCTGATTCTACCATCTTTTCTTTCTACAAGTTGGTGATTTTTAGTTCTATTACAACAAACACAAGGTGAGAGAAAGCTGGATGTTTTTCTTGACATAGTCTGCTGCATTTAAGTTAGATTCAATTCAATCTGAAGCCCAAGCGAGAGATGAGAGAGTCGCCCATATTAGCTGTAAATATGTACCTGTTCAAACTTTCCGAGCAGCTCCTGCATGCTAAAGTTCAGGCCAATCATTCTGGAGTGCGTTCTGTGGCTCCTCCCACTCCGTCCAGTCTCTACATCTTTACCGTCATTCAATTTGAAAGGTGTTAAAAATCGTGGAGAGCCAGGTAAGTTCTCCAGTGGTTCCGATCAAAACTGAACCCTTTAAAATCAGGACTTAAAACAACAATAAATCCAGAGTTCCAGTGTTCTTCAATCTTGCGAAAGAGAAGTCCAGCACTTGAGGAAAGTTCAGACACAAAAGGGTCGAATCCAGGTCGCAGTCCCTGAACAGGCCGTCTGCACACCTCACACACCCCTCGGCAGCACCCATCCATGCATGCCGGTGTGTGCGCTCGCCTGATCCCACGGCATGACCGTGGCATCCTCCTCTGACGGGCAGCTGGGCTGAGTGGGGAGGATCACGGATGCCCTGCAGTCATAGTGGGAGCGGGGTTAGGTGATGCCCAGTGTCAGTGGGGACTCCGCAGAGGGACAGCCAGAGCCTGACACCTTAGTTTGTGTGGCCTGGAATGAGGCACTGGATCTAAGAGTGAGAAATCCAACCAATCTTGGGTAGAGGTCTGCAGACTGGAGATAAAAGCCCTCAGTGTCTTGAGGGACGACTTGGATGATGTAAACCTCTGAGTGGATGAGAACAGGTTTGCCTCTCTTCTTCTGAACTTCTAGGTCTCACTTCCTCCACTTCCCTTCTGGGCATGAAGGAAGCTGTTTACTCGCTGTCCAGCAGTCCAGCTCAGGGCAAGGCCGGGGCGGTTGTTCTCAATTACTCAGATAAAAAGCCCTCTTTCCCTGCCAGCCACGCAAACCTACACACTTCAAGAGGAGAGACGGCGGCACAAAGAGGCACATGGTTTGCCCTCGCGCTCTCCTGAGGAGAGGTAACAGAGGCTCAAAGAGCCACCTCAGTGTCTGCCTCGCTGGCCGCCCCTCAGGTCCCAAGCCCCGGTCTGGTCTGACTCTATCACACCCTCCTAATCACTCCCATGACTGGGCCACTTAGTTAAAGAATGCCTTCTTCTCTTCGTTGGAGCCACATGTTCGCAGAGCGCTGCCTCAAGGCTCAGTGCCACAATCCCGGGAAGCGAGTCTGACTCGCTATCTTCTTTGATTCTGAAATCTGCCGATGAACTCGCCGAGTCTTGAAAAACTTTAGCAGAAGGAGTTGTTTGGTCCTCTCCACCCCTCAGGATGAAGAAACCTCCTTAAAAGTGACCTTCTCTCTCTCATGCTCGTTGCTTCCTTGGAGGGTCAGGTAAATTCCCAGGCTGGTATCCCAGGCTGCTTTCTCTCCTTCTCTGCCGCTCCCGTTCCTGCTGGCCACTAGCCCCACTCGATCACACAGCTGTTTATTATTTTAATCAGTAGCCTCCCTTTCCCCTCCTCTCTCTACCTCTCTCTCCCCTAAACCAATTCAGCACACTACACACCCACTTCCTGAGGCCTACACGGGCAGGGAGCATGGCGGGGGGGGTTCAAAGAAAAGTAAAGACAAGCCAGAGGTAAAATAAGCTGAACTCATTCAATATGACGAAAAGTACAAATGGCCAACAGGTCAAGCTGTGGACCTAAAGGAAATGTAAACATCACAAGTATTGAAAGAGGGACATTTTAGAAAGACGACGAGGGCAGAGCCATTAAAACACATGGGAGGTAACGAACATTTATGATGGACAAACAGCCTCTGTGAATCTGGATCTAAGCAACACGTGTCTTCTTACAATACCAACTTCTAAAATACAAGTGAACTCCTGATGTCCCTTGCAGTTCCGGTCCTGCATTGTCAAAAGCATCAGCATGCAGGACAATGGCCAGAGGCTCACCCTAAAAATCCTCCATTCTTTCTACTAGAGCACAAGGGTTAAAGCGCTGAGAGCTGTGGCTTCGAGGGCTATGCTACCGAAGGACCGAGCATTAAAATTGATTCCATATATTCAACCCGTGCGCAAAAGCAATCTTGAGGGTGCGTGTGCTGGCATTTGGAACAGCAGGGCAGACATGTGTTGAGCATCAAAGACACACGGACAGATGGCTGTCAACTGAACGGGAAAAATATAACACAATACAACCTTGCATATTCATAAGACAAATACTTTGAAGTGTGCTTAGCTAATTGAAAATATTAACATATTCGAGGCCCTGTAAAAGTGTTCTTAATTTATACTGACAAATAAATTCTGTTTGAAGGGATCTTGAGAGAAAGATGTAAAATCAGCAGTCACGAATTGGCACATTTGACAGGCATGACTAATTCAGCGAGTGGTGGAATTAGAGAGTAAGGGGGAAAAAAAACTAAACCTGCTTGATTACAAGTCAAAGACTGTCATTCAACAAAAAAAGGCATTTGCTAAGTACGCAAACATCCATCTATGCAGCTCAGGGTAAAGGATGAGTGGGTTGAAAAAGTTGGGCAACATCACTAAGCAGATTAGCACCATTACAGGGGTAAAGCCTCCAATCCGCCAAGCTAAATGAGAAGAGGAGAGAAAATAAAGTTGAGGGAATGATCAGAAAGAGACCATACTTTCATAAACTGAGGAGAAGACTCTGCAAAGGGATCTAAAACAGCAAGTGTGTTAACTCTTTCATTCTCTAAGAAAAACTCTTGTAAATACGTCCAAACACAGGGAAAACTTCCACTAAAGTCCTAAAAGAAGACCAAAGAAGGGTAAAGGCAAAATGCTTCATCAAGTTAATGGGATCAACTTTAAAACTGAATCAGCCATTCCAACACATTAACTTTGACACGCTCTGTCCATTCTATTATCAAACAACTTTTCTGTGTCTTTACTGCATGACCCATTTTGTGTGGATGTACTTTCATAGCAGCAACAACAACCCCAAAAAAACAGGGCAGAGTGATGGCAACACCATGTTTTATAGATAGGATCAGATTCTGAGATAGAAAGCAGTGTTTTTTTCTCTCAACAAACATAATGGTTCTCATTCTAACCCACCAAAAAAACAATTCTGGTCTCATTCATTACAAAAACATTTCCCACTACCCTCTGTTGACGCAGTGCTTCTTCATTAACCTCCTTTCGTGTACTCTGCTCTTGTTCAGTTTTCCTCTGGATGTGTGAATGACACAATTGGCCAGAGTAAAAGAAGTTACAGGCATCAAATAGAAACCATTAAACATGTTGGAACAATCCTTGTTGGTTGAGCACTGCTGTGGAGGGAGAGGACTGTTAAGAATCTCCTTCAACTGTATGAAATTTGTTTGATTCAGTTTTACAGTGCAAAGCTTCAAAAACTGCTTTGCATCCATTTCCAACCTAGTGGTAATTAACAACTCTTTTCCGTTATCCTTAGAAAAGTCCTGTGTCTGTTTCCAACAAAATATAGGCTACTGTCAATTTAACAGAACAACACTCACCTGCCACACCACAGCCTGAAAACACATAGCTCCAACTTTAAATTTAAAACTACAATCCTGAAAGACTCTTTTCTCTATGACGTGTAATGGTTGTCATACTTTTGTCTAAGTTGTCTCTTCATGGTGTTAATTTTTAAGCAGAAAAGTGCATATTGAAAAAGGGTTAAGCTTTATTGCATAAGAGGAAGAGAATCTGTGCTGCAGGCTTTTTCTAATTTCCAGTATTAATCACAGCCTAGAAAAAGATAGACAGGAGAGAAATAGTTGAGACATTTGACTAAGAAGCTTGATTTTTTTTCTTTTTTTTTTTAGAGTCAGAGTAGGAATTTTGAAAGTTAAGTATGTGAAACCCAAGTGTGTGCCTTTTCCACATCCACTTCAGATGCAGTTCTTTGGTGAGTGACTCAGCATATATTGCTTTTTTTAATGCAGTGCTCAGTTTAGATTCATAATGAGAATGGATTTAAAGCCAATTCATGCAACCGTACCACATATTGGCTTAAACACTGCCAGCAGAGAGACTGTGAAAGAGTTGAGGAGCACCATCCAAAAGCAAGGAGACAGAAGCAGATTTGTTTGTTGTCTCAGATGATTTCCGATGGGAGCAGAGGCAGCGCTGACTAAATAAAGTTGGGCAACCATGTTACGGCATCACAAAGCACGGAGTGAACAAACACATATGTGAACACACACAGTCAGATTCAAGCATCAGGCCTATCTCCAATGGAAAGTTTAAAGTTACTCCCCTGACAAATCATTTAAGATTTTTACAATCCCCTCTAATCCAGGGTTTCTGCCTCTACCGTGTACCATGTCTCTCAAATCAATGTTGCTGCAGCATCTCACTACAATATGCATCCAATGAAGTCACTTCTTGTGTCTCAGGTTATCACTGATACGCCTCTTCCTGTTAGAAGGGCGGCAGAGGAGATGGGGGCACTGATATGTTTGAATATTTGTGTTTATCTACTGAATGCAAAAGGGTTTTTTTCCATGCCGCTCATTGGCATATTTTAAACTGCATTACAAACTGGACCCAGAGATGAGCAAATTTAATAAGTTGATGAGACCTGTTTTTTTAGAATTCAGCTGTACTGTATAAGTTGTGTTTGTTGGTCAAGTGGGACATGACACAGTTGCTTCATACGGGGGCACTGATACCGCTAAGCCGACACTCCCACCTGGCAAAGCTTATCCACATGACTCTGATAAAAGCACACTAATCTAGTTTGTATCTAATAGCTGCATTGCTATGCGTCTCTTTAAGGCCAGACAAATATCAGGACAACCCCGTTTTACAAAAATTCTAAAACAGGATTAGGTTGATTGGAATAGAAATAGCTAAATCGGAGTAATACAGCCTGTTCTCGAACATGTTAACATCTAACTCTCACATTCAGCTGCTAGCTGACCTTCACTGATGTGACAGCCCCCACTGGAAACGACAACTGTAGTCAAAGGTCATGGCATGATACAATGCCATCTACAATCTTATAATTAAAGAAAGAATTCTCAGAATGAATGTACATGCTTTTTAACAGGAAAGTGGAAATTGATTAAGAGTGCTGTAGGCTGCTGTTCAGTAAACAGGCATTGATTTTGGAAATGTGTTTCTACAAGATCCAGAGATTACCTTAAGATGGAGGTAAATGTACAGGTTACTTACTGTTAAATCGGGTATTTGAAGTGATGTTCTGGGTTTGAAATGATGAGTGCGGATGAGACACAAACAAGCACTAAAATGACTATGAAAACTTCTCAGCTGTGCTGGAAATACATACAGTGAACTAATTCCATATTGCAAATGCATTTAAAAAAAGCTTACTGGTAGAAAAGTGTATCAAAGAACAAACTTTCCGTCATGAGAGCCTCCCAGCTTGTGGCAGAGGTCTCTCTTTTAATTGGAAAATCTCATTTCTGGAAAGCAGTGCTTTTGAAGCATTAGGAAATCTAACCATTGACTTTGAAAATGGAATCAATGTGCTGAACTGACTGAATTTTAAAAGCAGCACCAGAACCTGCTCGGGGTTCTTATCACCCTGCTCCCCAATCACCTTCAAAGGCTTCCGGCCCTTCTCTCATTCTTTTTTTCTTTTTCCCCCCCATCAGTGTTTTACTCCATCTCTGCCACTTCCCTCTCAACTCCACACCAACATCAGAAGTGCTCCTTTTGTGAATAGAAGACCATTCGAGGTGGTCTGCACGCACCTGCAATCCATCATGAAAGAAATGCTTAAAATGTCACCTTGACATGATTGTTTCCGAAGCGGCTGTCAGGCGGTAGCTTTAACACGCAAGCTCAGCACCTGCTGTGTTTGAAGTGCGGAAAGAGGTCTTAAAAGGTTAGGCGACGGCATCAATTAGTGTGTTCCACTAATGAGAGGTTGTCTCGCTATAGTTTACAAGGGTGATCCAAAATTGGAATAAAAAAGAAATGAAAAAGAAATACAGAAACACTTTTCCGGCTGGAGGAAGAATCAACACATCAAGCAGGATGACATGCACAAAGAAATTCAAATATCTGTGGGCATCTCCGGGGCAGAAAAACGTGAGACCTGACCATCAAAATCAATAACGGAGTATATGGAATCGTCGGAAGTATTTTCAGGAGGACAAAAATGAAGAAAAATGTACACAAAATGAAGTATATATTACTGTAAAAGGTGTGAAAGGAAAGTGTTGGGATTTTTCCCTACAGAAATCCCGACCAAACACAAGAAACAGTAGAACAATAAACAACGTGAGAATCCCCCATCCTCACCTCCACCCCCCAAAAACCCATTTGCCAGTCTCAGATTGCAGCTCTAAAATACGCATCACCATGTGCGTGTACCGAGGCACACCCTCACTAACATCACCCTGCAGAGCCACTTGAATAGAAATCCCTCAATAAACTCAACGGCCACTTCCGACTTTATGTGGTTTCAAAAGAAAAATAAACCGTGCTACGATTGCCGCACGCATATTGATTCTGCCCCGAGTTTAACCCTCAGCTTCAACAATGACCCTGATCCTGAAGGCAAAACAAAACCACCATTCAGAGCAGCAAAGGGATTACAGTCATCCTCTGATACCATGAACACATATGGACACAGTGCCAGCTCACATACTGTTTACAGCTGGCTTTGTTTTTTTTTCAGGACTCTGAGACATGCCGTTTAGCTCTGGGGTTGCATTTACTCTCCCTTACTGTCCGAGACTATTTACTTACAGCAGAGATCGTTCAGTGGAGGGTGAGCGCTTCTGAACTGCGGCGGCCCTGCTGGTTGGAGTGCTGGTCTGCGTGCACAGATGAAATAATATGACAACTTCTGTGCGCTTTTAAATAACTTCTCTATTGATCTGGCAAGGAGAACACGAGAGACTTGAAGATGATGACTGGGAATTGCAGATTCATTACAGTTAGAAATCTATAAATAATGGGCTTCTCACTGATTGAACTTTGTATGGATCAATAAACACAGGCGATGTTCCACTTGGGCCGGAGTCAGTTTTAAACAAAAGACAACATGCTTTCACTGTGAGAGAAGATGCAGCACCTGTTTAAGTTTTGGCCCATTTACCCAGTGTCTCACAGCATTGTGGTTCTTACTGGCCACGCTGTGCAGGCAGTCCCTGGCTGACCCCCAAGGGACAAGGCATTGGGTGGGACTCACCACAGAGCATCAGTTCAGAGGAAAGATAAGATCCAACAGTTTCCACCACCTACCCACCCAGACCCAGCTTAAACAAACTGCTGTGGCTTTCCCACAGAACAAAAAACACAGTCAATCACAATAATCTCACTCACTGGAAAAGGCTGTTTTTTAAAGTGAAACAAATAATCTCTTTCAAAACTTTGTGATATGACTGAAACCATGAGGATAAAAAATATTTTGATAATCTGGGCCATTATGTATCCAGATCAATTCACAATTAGAACAAACAAAGAAAAACAACAACTTTTAACTTACTTTTTGACCCTACAGAATGGTGTCTTGTTCAGAATAACACATGTAAGCTGCCACATATTGACTTAGTTTCTGGACATATAAACAGGAAGACAGAATTTTGGCACACAATGTATCTCTATTGGTGTAGGCAGAGGTATATTTTTGAGAACCAGACTGATTTTTCCTTTTAGGAAAAAAAAAAAACACCACCTGACCACTTACTATCACTACTTATCACATATGTATCACATATATAAACTTTTTTTTTCCTATAAAATTGTTAACAGGATTAATTAATGGATTTATAGTATGTGTGTGTGACATTATCATTTTAGAAACAGAAGACAAAATAAAAATAAAACATGCTCCTTCAGTATATTTTGGGAGTCAGCTGGCCTAATTTAGTGGGGTTCATAACCTCGCTGGACTTAGCCAACGGCTGCAAACCGTGATCATAATCACTCTTTCGCAGATGTAGCCAATGATGCTGCCTTCTTTGGAATTTGGGATCCATTCACTGCCACAGACTGAGTCTTTTTCTAAGTCTTTGACTATCACAACCCAGCAGATTGTACAACTACTCTGTTGGGGTTGGAAACGTTTGTGGATCAGCGCCAGACCTTTCATTCCCTTCCAATTCTTTGCTGTGATTAGTTCCCAGGTATATACATCAAACTACAAACGAAGGCAAACGATTCTCTGGAAAACTCTAAGGCTTACGTCAAGTTTACAGAAGGAGGTCGACAGTGTTTGTTGAATTGACAATAAGAGAATTCTGAATGTCTGTGTTGCTCTCAGAGGCTGAAGCAATGACACTGACAGAGTCCTTACACAAGTCTGAGATAAGTTCTGCTCATTTCAATTTAGTTCTCAAGTTCTAAAGCCTGTGTGCTCTGTCTGCTCCCCAGACTTTTCATCCTTCCCCTCATAAAAAACCTTTTGCCCTTTTTCTCAGTCATTCTCATCTTCCTCCTCTAATCCCATTAACTCCTTTCTATTCCATCCCATTCATCTTTTATCTGTCATCTCCACCTCCCTGTTAGTTTATTGTCCAGGGAAAGTGAGAGAGATATCCAACCTACACGAGTCGCCCTCAGCTCCAATCACTACAACAACTGTCTGACGGCTGGCTTATTACTTCCTGGAATGTTTACTGTAGGCAAGCTGTCTCAGTCTATAGCCTTCCCGTGTTTTCTGCCGTGCTGTGCTCAATTACTTCCCCCATCAGTCACCCATGACTCTGGTTGGAGTCTATCTTCATGTTTGTGCAGCCTTATTCTAAACTGCACTCTTCCTATACAAAGCCTGCCCTTACTTCCACATCTGTCTTGACATTCAGCACATGGTGCCATTACAGGCCACAAGTTTGAGGGCATTTACTAAAATTACCTACCTAATGGAGCATGATCTGCTGCACCCAGATATCCAGTGTAGCCATCGGACTCAGATTAGATGGGATTCAGTGTCATCGCAGCGGTGGAATATTTCTACCCTGCTTTTGACTGCCTCAATTCACACGTGGAAGTCTGGAGTTTCATTTTCAGCCTCACACAGAGAATCCATTCCAAGTTTTGATGAATAAAATCAGTGTTCAGCGCCACTCTGATCCCGTAGGTGGCCTGCAGAGTGTGATAGCTTAGCATATGGTGTGGTTCCTATGGAAGACCCCGGCACACACACACACATACCATTCATGCCACCGAACACGATAAGAAATGGAAAGAAAAAAAAAAGGTTGACGCAAAACTTCTGGCAGAGCTCCTCGTCTCCACATACATCAGTATCAGAAAAGCAGATATCCACACTCCTTAACCATAAAAATCTCGTTCCCTAGATGAATGACCTTTGACCACTTTGTCTCTCTTTTCAGTTGCATACATTTCAGTAATTCCCGACAGATTTTCCCACAGGCAGAGGATGGGATGAATAATGGTCAGGAAAGTGTCTCCGTGCCCTTATCAGATTTCCCTCCAGGGATCAGCTCCAGCTCTGCACGTTTAGAACCTGACGTCCTGACCTTACAACCACCAATCCTGCTGGCACAACTATTTCCTCTTTTTTACCGGACCCCACACCCCTGCTGCCCCCCCTGCTGCAGACTGAGGGACGTAAACCTTCACCCTCTCCAGCTTGGCCACTCTGCTGTCACTAATGGCATTCAGCAATTTTTCTGTCAAGCCGGCTGACAACGACGAACAAGAAAAAAAAAAATCTTTTTTTTTCGAAAACCTATTTCAACACTGTAGCGTGAGCGAGAATACTAAAGAATTTTATAGTCAATGTCCAATTACTGAGGCACAGTATGTTCTTTTAACTACGAGCAAAAACATTCCAGCGCGAACTCCGCCAAACAGATTTCTGACAAAGATATCCTTTATGATTTGACACAATCTTTGATTCACACTTTAGAAAAGCTTTAAAGCTAAAAAACAAGAGCTGATATAACAAGACATTGTCAAAGCTGGAATGAAACACAACAGACACATCACAGCTCATGTCTCCACCTTCAAAAACATTTTTAGAGGTGTTTTTTGGGTTGACTGATTGTGTCTTGGTGAGGCATTTCATGTGACATTGTTTCAGAGGGAGCATCCAGAGAGTCATTTATCACTGCTGCTCTTTGATCTCACCTTCCCAAATATACATCCATGGAAGCCACACCCTGTTTGTTGCACTTGCATCAGTCTTTTCAATGACATTCCACACACACATAAATCCAGCACACCGTTTATCATCCAGTGATGGGACAACAAACAATAAAATAAAACTCGATCCCCCCCGTGTGGAGACGGGGTCATCCCAGGACTCTCGAGGCACACGTAGAGGCACATTGAGCAGATGTCCTATCAGTGTGGAGCGAGAACACATTAGCATCATTACGTCACTGAGCGGATACTCCTGATACTCTGTGGCTCTGCTCTGGAATAGCATCATCTGTCATCATAGGCATGAAATAAGAGGAAAACACAAAGCAACACAAAGCGTTGACAACACAGCAAATCCCAGAGTAATAATTAAGTATGCAGCTAAACATTAAGTGTCTGCTCAGCATGAATTAATGGCAGCGTACGCTGTCAATAAAAAAAACAACAAACAAACATACACTGGTTGACTGTGAGTTAACTCCAGAGGCAGCACGCTGACGGACAATTGCAATTACAGAGGATTTGTCTCTTCTGTGGATAGACCCAAAAAAGACTGATGACAGCACAAGTTTAAACCAAACTATGTGTATGAATAACACAACAAATAAACAACAATAAGCAACTCCCACAAATCTTCTTTCTTCTGCTTGCATTACCCAAATACGACCTCAGATTGGAAACGAGGGCAAATGCAGCCCGTTTTCAGTCAAATGTGCGAAGAGAGGACATGGCGACACTGCTTTGAACTTGCCCTTACAAGTACACCAGGGGCTTATGCGAATGAGTGTGTGCCAGGAACAGAGGAGATGCTGGGAGAGGCATAACGATCAAAAAGACGATGTGTGCCCTAAAAAGCCTGAAATTTCCTTTCCTTTAACGCTATTTGCACAGGGGGGGAAACATTATGAGCAAAGATATATGAATCCCCCAGTTTGATCAGTCTGTAGCTGTCCAACTGATCAAACAGAGCTGCACTCTCATGAGCTGAGCTATCAGGGAAGTTGGACTCTTCAGTGCAAAGAAAACTCATTTGGTTTAATTAAATAGAGGGACACAAAAAAAAGTGTTGTTTGCCTAAAGGAGTTTAGAGTAGACATGGCTTAGCAGAGAGCTCAGAAGTCTAAATGTCTGGTAGTGTGTGTTTAAAAGTGAGGGACATGTGTGCTACCCTGAAGGAGTTACTGAACGAAGCAAAGCAAACAGCTGCTCCACTGAAAAGCAGGGACAGGGGAAGGGGGGGTGAACGAGAGAACTGAGGAGAAAAGAAAAGGAACGACTCCTGCTCATCTGGGCCTCTGCTGCATCTGTCACGGCTCAGTTGCTCAAATGAAGATGAGAGGGTGTAGAAAGGGCAAGAGCAGCACCCACCACACAAGGGCAGGGCTAACCCGGCCGAGGAACCTCTCACACAGCACGGACGGAGACACAAACGTTATGCAAGCACGCCTCGTGACTGAGAATGTATGTTAATCGGGTCTCCTTTGTTCGCTGTGTGAATCACGCAGGGTCGCAGATTGAGTCAATGGCACTGCAAAGCAGGATGTGCCATGTGACCCCTGAAGTGGGAGCAGAACAATGTTTTAATCAGCACTGCTGCCACTCGTATACAAAATCATAAACAAGGAGTCTCATACCGTAAATCTTTTATACGACCAAACGGAGGAGATAGACCGACCAAAGGGCAGAGCTATAAAAGCAGAGAGCAGTTACATTTAATAAACCTGACTTCAAGAGGATCTGACTCACCACCCATCCTGTGTCTTCTAAACTATTTTCTGTGTAAGCGATGGAATTAGCATCTCTCAAGTCCACACTTGTGACCATTACTCATCACTTTAGGTCCTTTTCTTGGTCCATTTCCCAGAAGCAGGGAACAATCCATTAATACATGCGCACCCTGTAATGTTTGGATAGCCACTTCTGATGTAAACGTTTATTTTCACAATAAAAATCGGACAGAATATTTATAGAAGTCTTCTTTGCACATTTGAACTACACTTGCAAAAGCTCACCATTGGGCATTTGGTGAAAAGGGCAGTAAGTGCAACACCCATGTTTTCCAATGTGCTTTCCTACATTTAGTTAATGCAAATCAAACCCAGCTATGAATCAAAAGGTTCCCACTTGTTTACCTTATGAGCAGTTCCCATGATGCATTTCAGGCTATATTGTATAAATTGACATTAAAATGAATAACTGAGTGGAATCCACCAAAAGGGAACTGATATTGCAGCCTGGTTTTTATCCTTATTGAAAAGGTTTGGCAATCAAGCCGTAGAGGCTTTTGAAATGAAAACTGAAAACAATCGATACAATTCCTGATTTCAGATGGATTAGGAACATTTGATATCAAGTAAAAAAAAAAACATGCAAAAGAGGGGATGACATCAGACTCCCTTATGTGTGACAAGCATTCACAGACTTGTCATGCATACATGTGTCCGCACACACATTTAGGAACGTCTTTGTTTTTAATCTCTAAAGTGGTGCCTTTGATCTGTCTCGATGAGGAAATGCGAATTCAAAGGCAGCAACAGTGTGAGATGAAAGGCCTGTCCAATTATGGGGAACTGGAGTGCTTCCTAAAATATGCAGTTGTTCATAAACACTTGTACACACTACTTTGATTCATGCAGAAGAGAACACACACCTACACTATAATAGTTTCACAAGGGTTAGAAATCCTCATGATTATAAGACAATAAGTCCTGTTATTCATTTAACAGGGAGAAGGTATAGGCTGATACATCATTATGCCAATAGACAAATTACATAGAAGAAAAGAACAAGATGGGAAGACAGAAACAAGAAAATATCTATTTCCAACTTTAGTGACAATGAGACAAGATATATCATTTAAAGACATAACAAGCTAAGCAAAACTCCAAGACCAGCTCGTGTTGACATTCAAAGAGGCAGTACACATCTGTCCAGGGGAGATTGACATTTTGTGTGTATAGAATCACACTTTATCCTCACTATGACCATAATCCTGTAATTTCTGCTGAAGATACCCAGTTAGACTTTCTAACACCAACAATTACCAGTGACCTAAATCCTTTTTTTTTTTTCATCAAAAAGGCCAAATACACAAAACAAGGTAGGGATGAAAATGAAACCCATTGAAGAGTGTTCTGCACGGCCAACTCTCTATTGTTAGCACTGCGTAGCTTTTATGCTTAATTTGAATAGATTGTTCTTTGTTTGAACAGCTGTGGATTACTTGTAAGCTTGTCATCAATTTCACGCTTTCTGTCAAGGGCTTGTCAAGTCACCGTGCTTCTGCTGCCGAAACATGGGGACGATTGCAATGAAGCAGAGGATTGACTTTACAGCAGCAGCGGAGTCGGAACGTTTTGTTCCAGGCATCTATAAAATGTAACAAGAAAAAAAACAAGCAAGTTACACATGTCAAACCGCGGTAATAAAAGTACTATGTCTTTTTTTCTTGATTTTCTTTTTTAAACATTGGAGTAAATAGCATTTGACATGCAACAAGAATCTACAATCAGGTCTGATGCTCGGTGTGTTTAATTGGGCAGAGCAGTGCTTTGATCTTGCTAACATCCCAATAATAACCATAGCCGTACACTGATGCAGCTTGATGACCATATTAATTCAATATACCAGTATGGTTTTCTGTTTAGAATGCATTAGAGCAGCCCGGGCTGGCTGAGGGGGGAGCTTTCAGGGAAGAGGCAAGTACGGACTCCGTGGTGATGGTGAATGATGCCCACACTCAAGGGAGGTCAGTGAGAAATTCAGGTGATGTTCGAAGTCGTCTATATGAGAAAAATGTGTAAATCATGCAGATTTCTTGCCTTGCTCTGCAGTTTAGACAAAATGTTGACCTGCTTGTGGCCACTGTTTGTTAGGGTATTAAGAAGGCCGTCACTTAAAATTGTAAAAACAAGTTTTCAGACATTTCCGTAAGCTGTTACATTCAAGAAATCAACAGATCATTCAAATTCCAGTTCATGTATGATGTAGCATCAAGAACATGGATCACTGGTGAGCTCTTTAATTTAACAGATATATGATGTGATGTTTAAGGAAGATCCGTTAAGATGGAAACATTGGACAGTTGGGTAAAAAGGCGTTGAAATTTTTATCAAGGAATGATTTGCATCGGTTTGGTAAAAGTGAGTAAAGCTCGAGTCAGCAGCAGCTCACCTTCTGATACCCAATTAACCCCGCCTCTAACCCTCACTGCCTTTGGGGCTGAAATTGGCCACAGAATAAAGGGGTGAATGGCAGATTCCTTTGTCTCTGTAGCCTTTGGCAAAGATCCAGAAAACAGTGAGTAAAGCAGCGAGGCACAAATAAGCTGTGATGTTCATCGAATTCGAGAGAATATTATGACGGTCAAAAAGTCCTGGAAAATGTACTAGTACGTGGTGATTAGTCATCTGTGGGATGTTACAACAGTCATCTGCTGTTACAAAGCGAGTAAACGCGCTTAAGTACTTCAGGAGGAAGAGCTTCATAATATAAAAGCTACCATGGATTCTCCGAAATTACTCAGTCAGTTCGGTTTACTCAGGCAGAAATCCTTTTCTCACTTAAAACAGCCAAATGTACAGTGAATTAGCATTTGTTTGTTTCTTACAGGTAAAATTTCAAAAGAATAATCATAAACACATTTTTTTTAAATCTCCTTATGAAGGCTAAACAGCTGAGTTAATTGCTGCCCCATTTGTAGCTAAAAATAATGAATGCATAGCATGCTTTGAAGAATTCAGGATGTCCTGAAGTAGCTTTATGATCGCAAATCTTTCAAATAAACACTCTTTCCTGAACCAGAGTAAGGCTCAAAAACCCCTGATTAAGTGGTAAAGCAGGAAAACAACTGAGTTACTTTTAACATCATGTTAATCTGCGCTTTGCAGTCTGATTGAGTGAGAATGGATTATTCTCCGATAACAGAATTTAAGCGCAACACTGCATTTATTTTTTCTATTACCCCCCCCTTCCACTTCCATCACAGTCATCAAACCCGCTTGGAGCATGACAGTGGGATGTGATTTACGGCCCGTGTTCCTGCGACAGTCGACTTAACCCAGACTGGGGGAGCTGTGATGCAGTAATTGGCTTGACTTAAAGCCCCATCTCTAAATCACGTAGCAAGCTAAGTTAGAGCCTCACTCAAATCGCGCACACATAACTCACTGACCATTCATTTTCTCTGCCCGGCCACTTTTCCCTGACGGAGCACTCCTCAGACACATTAAGATACTCCAAGGTTTTAAGAGCGATGCGACATTAAAAGCACCCTTCACCGAAAGCTCCGGCTCCTCACTCACATGGGACAAACAAACACTGGAGCACATCCCACCAGGAGAAAAATGTACCAAATGCAATAGCCCAGAGTAATGGTCAGTATTACAGAGTGCTTCACGCAGAGAAAGCAGTATTGATTAAGACTCAGAAGAGATGAACTAAAAGCTTTACGATAAGTGCGGTGAGGCTTTTCTTTCTCCGCTTGTTTACTACTTTTTACATACTATCGTCCTGCAGAGCCAAAAAAGAACGAAAAAAAAGCCAACACATGAGGCCATGTCTTACGGAAATACCTTTTTATTGCTATATATTGTAAATGCATGAAAACGTGGGCCCCTGGACCTTTTTCTCGACATGCTCACTGAACAGGAGAGATGGGTGGAGTACATTCTATATACTGTACAAATATTCATTTTGTCAGCGCTAACTCAAAAGCAAACATGCCAAATTTGCCTAATTAATCTTTAAATGTTCGAGGTACAGGTTCCCAATGTGAACCCACGGGATACCATTCTTTTAATTAGAATATCAAACACTCCCAGCTAGCAGGTCACCAGCTATCAAAAAATGCAGAGCATGAAAGGTCATCCCATCAAGACCCCATAAATAAAACCAAAAACACCACAGAAAGCAGAATTCTAAACAGTCCCCTGACTTTCCTTCAAGAATCAGTGACAAATGTGACATTCTGGAGGCTACAAGCATAAATAACAAAACCATCAATTCAAATCTATTTTCTTCCCCCGTGCTGATACCACAACACCACAAACCTTGAGGTCAGAGTCAGAGACCTCAGTGAGATGCCCAGAAGGGAAGTGTTTGTTGTTTGTTGAAATTTTGTGACTAAGGCTTTCCTCAGGCTGAGACCCTCCACAGCAATGCTGCTATGATGATTTGAAATGTACTGCCATGAAATTTAAGTCAATGTGCCATTTCTGATAGCATAAATCAATCTGGCAAGTAATGTCTAAAGCACATTGTTTATACCGCTGAGAAACAGGCCCAAAGAATAGAAAACAAAAACGAAATCCTGTTTATATGCATTTGTTTGCTTAATTGACAAATTACTGATTAAAAAAACAATAATAATAATTGTACAACTACAAACTTAGTGTTATCCCCACTGGGTGTATTTCACCAAAATGAAAATGTATGTTGTTTAAAGCCACTTAGCTCCAAGCTCAAGTGATTTAACAGCACTGGGTCAAAAAGAAACCAACAACTCCATCACAAAAACAAAGCAGCAGTTTATAATTTACACTTAGTGCACAAGAACTGAAAATATTAGTGAGAAAAACATCTTAAAGCAGAGTGTGACGTCTGACCTGTTGAGCCAATCCAGATTAGATCAAACAACCCCACGCAGCACCTAAAGTGTTCAAATCATTTACCAGTTCAGTCCGCCCTGTGAAATGCTGCTAAAAGACGACAGCTTCTGCGTCTGCATGCTTAGATATTAAGTGTGTGTGTGCTTTAGTTAATTAAACAGAACTGAGCAATTAGCTGTTGACTGACACATCTATGGAAAGGTTAGAGTCGCACATTGATTTACTATCAACTCAGGCCCCAGACCTGTCAGTACAGATGTATAAACAGAAACAAGACAGAGGGCTAAAACTGCCGCCTCACAACATCAATGCTGGAGTCACTGGAGCACATCAAGTCATTCATAAGAATGTTTAAATGAAAAGTGAAAGTGGCTGACAGCAATGAAATTGGCACCATCTTCTGGGATTGCTAAGTGCCCGAAGTAGAGGAAATAAGTGAGTGAAACCCACAAAAACCGTGGGAAAACTGAATTATACCACAAACATAGCCTAAAGTCATTCTGCATTAGTGCCTATCTCCTATCAGTGACTGCGTCTCCCTTCCAGTTCTGTCTCTTTATACATGCGACTGGCAGAGGCAATTCACCAGCATATCATTCCAGAACCTCATACTTCTGGGGAAAGACTTGGTGGATTGGGAGCCATCCAATCAAACTTACAATAGTTTCTTTTGATGAAATGACACCGAAGCAGCAATCTAGCCTGGGAAGCCCACAGAGCTTTGGCTGGACATTACCATTCAGTGGGAATTCACATCTCTGCACTGAATGCTTTGCACAGTTGTATTTTTGTAATGGAAAAGTTCAGAGCTCGGTCTTCAGAGCCTTCTGAAAGTGTCAAAAGACAGAGTGGGAGATGACTCATTTGAACCTTTAGCCAGCTGCACACTGTCTTCTCTCCAATAACAAAACCCAGATAATTACCTTAGAAAGGAACAGAGAGAAAAGTAACACATTAAGACAGGTACGTTTGTTCTTTTACAACCAGTTAAGCGCAAGATAATTTAGTCAGATAATTCAAATGTCCTCACATGCAATTTCAATGGATTGAACCATCAATAACCTCTATTGCTATAATTTCTCCTTTTTGGTTATTATCAACTTGAATGACAACCACCTCTGAAATTAAAAAGTCACTTTTCTTAAATAGCAAGGTCCAAATGGATTTCATGAACTCAGGCCACTTGTTCACTGAGATTGTTAACCACAGTCTTTCAGATTAGCTCGTATCACAAGTAAACCCGTCGCAAAATATTTGCTATATATTTATATATAAAAACATATATATTAAAAAAATAAAATAAAAGAAATGGTAAAAAGAGAATACAAGGCTTTTGTGAGTTGGTGCCTGCCTCTGTTGTGGAGCTTCCACCTTTAACAAAGTCATCTCTGTCAATTCTCCAGATGTGACCAAACAGTGCGGTGGGTTGCAGTGACATTTCAGTGTTCTTTATTATTTTTCCTTTTTATGTCCTCTCGCCTGTCTGCACACCAGTCCTTCCTCTTCCAACAGCCTGCCAAGAAACTGTCATGGCAACCAGCATTTCCGGATCAAGCTCACATGTCAGTGGCACACTGAGCTGCCATTTCAAGAGGAGAGTTTGGATCAGGTCCGCCGTTGGATTCTGTCCACAGCCCCAAGGCCCTTTCCGAATCAACAAAGGGAGGAGTGGAAAACGCTAAAAAGAGCCATCTGAGGAGCCAGTGGAACGGGACGGGATTGATGCAAACATCATGCAACTGCTTTTTTTTTCAGAGCCCTTTTAACTATGAGAAGACACAAAGCACAGTGGACAATTTTTTTTTTCTTTCAAACACGTCAAAAGGAGCTAAGGAAAGAAGAAGTGGAGAAAAAAGACAGCTGAGCTTCCTCTGGTTGACACAGATGTACTATGATCAGTCACTTAGAGTGACAAGAAGTTCAAGGTTTTAGTTAACCTGAGTATTTGGGAAGAGATAAAAACTCTAAACTGAATATAAATTGGATTTAAAAAATCATCTGGGAAGGAAATGGAGAGAACAATGAAGCTGCGAGAGATCAACAACCCTTGAGCCATGAGAATTTTCCAGAGAGATGCAGCTTAGCTGAGAGGCAAAAAACAACCGCTGTATTCCTAAAGCATGTTTTTCACACAAACTGTAAAAGCTTACCCTCTGAGATACTAATGCTAATTTTGAGACCACGAGCTCTCCTAGCTGTCAACAAACATTTAAAAAGTTCAAATCTGTATCTTCACAGTGCTGAGAGGAAGCTGGGCGGAAACCCTGCCGTAGGGTTTGTGATGAGTGCCACTGAGCTCCTAGGCACCGATGTTTCATGTTACCAACAGAGCAGAAAAAACAGACATGAACAGAGATTCTTTCACCGAGATGAGATACGGAAAACCAAGTGAGACAAACTACAGTGTGAACTGGGTTTTTTTCGGTTTGAGGTTTTTGCTGCTTGCACTCAAGTGTGTGGCGGAAATCTGCAGCTCCACAGCATCAGATGAGGCTTCAGGCAGACTGCGGTGTAAAGACAGCAACGTGTACGGGGCGTTCCAGTGATGCTTTATTCATTCACATTATCTCAACAGTCCCAGAAAAAGCTGGGGAAAACGACAGGTACAGGTACAGGTCTGATACAGAACCTAACCAGAAAACCATGCAGTTCCTTTTGAGCCAGTTTTAAAAGTGGATCCCTCCCCCCACCATCCTGTGACACCATGCATTCCAATAAAGTCCAATAACAAAGCTTCTATTCATTGTTGTGGGTTTAGAGCATGCACGTGAGAGTACGTTTATTGACTAAGATCATCTCTGTGAGGCGTTTACCCATCTTTGTAAGTGGGAAATTTAGCAGCAGGGTGCAAGGCCACCCGAAAGGAGTTATGATCGCACACACATGCGCCATCAAACAAGTGCAAAACCACAGACAGCAGTGATGTCACCGGGAAGGTCAGCAAAAGGAAGAAATTATCTTGGCGCGCTCGTCGATTTTCCTGTCAATCACTTAGTTGCCATAGCACTGTCTGGTGGGGCGAGGCATGCAATAAGCTATAAATAGATGGGGTGTTACAGTATGGAAAATAGACAGAGGACAATTACAGTCAGACTTCTCAGCCAGAGGGAGAGATTTGCATTTGGCCAAGTCTGTGCATTCTTTTTTCAACACACGTTTAGATTCATTTATGGTCTAGACTTTGATCTTCAAAACACTGATTAAAAATGAGACATCCCCACAAACCCCAGGAAATCTGGACCAGTGGGACAAATGTGTCAGAAAGGACATGCAGTAGCCTCGGCATTGAATTTCAATTAATTCTCCCTCAAATCTTAGCTGAGGCTAGTCTCTCCGAGCCCTTGCAGGCTCTTCTTCAGTTTCATGTGAAGAAAGAAGTGACGTGCACATATTTTGGGGGAGTTTCCTCTCCTTGTCTCAAACACACAGGGCCGTTCAAGGACACACTGGAATGAGTCGGAAAGAGATGATCTAATTACGGTTATTAGCAACAATTAATTGGAGCTGTAAAATTATGCTAACCTACTTTTATGTTTCAGAGTGCAAGAGAGGAGAAATAACTCAAAACGAGAGAATCAAGTAAAAGACAGTGAATGCTCACAACTTCATCACAGTAAATCAATTTAGTTCTGGGGTGTATCATTGGCCCACTTAACTTCATAAATAAACACACAAAGGCCATGAGACAGGGGGGGAAGCACTCTGTACGACCCTAAAGTCCCTCTGCTACCCTTTCAGCCTCCAACCATTTCACTAATTAACAATTGCTTTAATCCCGCTTTAATTCTGCAGACAATCGCACAATTTGTGTGTGGGTTTCTGTGTGTGTGTTGCATGATGAGGGTCCCGCACCGTTCTCCAGATTAGAAGAGCTACCATCCGCCAAGCGTCGCCCACGGCGAC